AATAAGATTTTGATTTATTAACCAGAGCTACTGTTTTCCTAGGCTCAACCTCAAAAATTTATTATTTTGCCCATATTATTATCACTTTTTTAAATGTCCTCTGGTTTACTCTGTCCTTTTTTTCCTGACTTTTTGTTTGTGTGTGTAAATTTTGATCTACTTGTTTTTTTTAAAAATGTGTATTTATTTATTTTGGAGTGGGGGAGGGACAGAGAGAGAAAATCTCAAGCAGGCTCTGTGAGGTCAGCAAAGAGCCTGACATGGGGCTCGAACTCATGAACTGTGAGATCATCACCTGAGCCGAGATCAACAATCAGACCTTTAACTGACTGAGCCATCCAGGTGCCCCCATTATTCCTTTTTCACTGATGTAAGTATTTAAGGATACTCTCCTCTGATCTTCTGTACCCTTATTTTTTGTTGTCCATTTGAACCATCTTGCAGTGATGGTGTGTTAAATTCTCCTGTGGGTGACCTTCAATCTATGTCTCCCTGCATATCCTGTAGATCCTGATTTTTTTTAATTGAAGTACAGTTGATATATGATATTATATTAGTTTCAGGTGCACAACATAGTGAATCACCGATTTGATACATCACGCTCACGATACTCACCACAGTAAGTGTCGTCACAATCTGTTGCCATACAAGGTTATTAAAATATTATTGATGGGGCACCTGGGTGGCTCAGTCAGTTGGGCATCCGACTTTGGCTCAGGTCATGATCTCACAGTTGGTGGGTTCAAGACCCGCATCGGGCTCTGTGCTGTCATCTCAGAGCCTGGAGCCCGCTTCCGATTCCGTGTCTCCCTCTCTCTCTCTCTGGTCCTCCCCTACTTGTGTGCTCTCTCTCTCTCTCTCTCTCTCTCTCAAAAATAAATAAATAAATAAATAAACATTTAAAAAACTGCATATCTTTACTGTGAATTGTGGTTATTAACATTAAAAATGTCCTTCTGACAACTTGAGCCACAAAGCAAAATACAACCCAAAATACATAATGTCTGTAAGTCTACACTGATATAAATGGATAGTTAAGTAAAAAAAAAAAAAAAAAAAAAAAAAAAAAAAAGCAAAAAACCAAGGAGAATAGACAAATCTTCCATACAGATTAATTCCAAAGAATGTCTTGAGCCTCCTCTCCCTCAAGGAGTATCGTAAGTGTGGGGTATGCAGAGTGACTTTCTTCCTGAGAGAATAACATGGAAAGCGAGGAAAAAGAATAACTTTACAACATAGAAGCCTGACAAACCTGACAGCCTAATCATCAGGTCAGCATCACCAGTGCTAAATCAAGTTGATAGTATGGACCCTGGACATGATGTGATGAGAAGCGCACTTCGCCTTGGTGGTCTTCCTCCGAAAAACCATAACCCCAGTCTAATCATGAGAAAAACAATCAGACACACCCAACAGCCTAACCAGTGCCCCTCTCAACTGTCAAGGTCATCAAAACACGGAAGGTCTGAGAAACTGTCACAACCAAGACCCTCAACAGCTAAATGTAACATGATATTCTGGGTGGGATTCTGGGGAGGGGGGAAGAACATAAGGCAATATGAATGAAGTATGGACTTTAGTTTGCAATAATGTATAAATATTGCTTCATTAATTGTGGCACCTGTACCATAGAAATGCTCTACTCGGGACTTTTTTCTGGTATTTTCACACTTACCAGAGCCATCTTCTTGGAATGATTTTAGTTCGGTCCTAAGCTCTCCATTCCTCTCGTCTTCTTTACAGATATTTCTGGACCTCGCTTTTCTCACAGAAAGGGGTAGAAGCAAGAATTCAAGAGACGTCTCCTTGAAAATCAGGAGTCTTTTCAGTAAAGGTAATTTGAAGGTTTTGCTATTCCCTGACTTCTGACTACATTGATGTCAGGGGGTTTATGTGGTTTTATTCTTCTTCTTGTTGGATTCTATAGTTACGGAAGAATGGATTTGGAGATTTAAATTTACAAGGACACCAGCTGCCCTGGAAATCTGGTGAATTTTTTTTCCCCAGTTATAGTGAGATGTCAGTGTCCACTGACAGATGTGTGAAGAAAATATGGTATATACAGTGGAATATTATTCAGCCATATAAAAAAAAGGAGTTCCTGGATTTTTGACAACATGGATGGAGCTTGAAGGCATTATGCTAAATGAAATCAGTCAGACAGAGAAAAGCAAATACTGTATGATCTCACTTATGGGGAATCTAAAAATATCAACTCATAGAAACAGAGTAAAATGGTGATATCCAGGTGATATCATGGGAGAGGGGAGGAAATTACCTGGTCAAAGGGTACACTTTCAGTTATAAGACCAACACATTCTGAGGAGTTAACATGGAGCTTGGTGAATATAGTTAATAATGTAGTATTATATCCTTGAAAGTCACTGTGAGAGAAGAGTATTAATGTTCTCATCATAAAAATAACAAAATGGTAATTATATGAGGTGAAGGATTTGTTAACTACCCTTATGGTAAACATTTTGCAATATATACATGAATCAAATAATCACACATACCCTTCAAATCATACCATATGTCAGTTTTATCACAATAAAGCTGGGAAAAAAGTCAATTGAAGAGGTAAATATTGGTATCTTCACCATGTGGCATCGGCATCTTCCCACAGATCAGTGAGTATTCAATCCTTTTTTTATGTACCTCGTGAACACTTGTATAGGTTTCTTTTTTAAAGTTCCTCCTGCCTCTTGTTACATTTATTTAAAGGAATGATATAGGGATGCCTTGTGGCTCAGGTGGTTGAGCATCCAATTTCAACTCAGGTCATGATCTCGCAGCTTGTGGGTTTGAGCCTCGCACTGGGCTCTGTGCTGACAGCTCAGAGCCTGAAGCCTGCTTTAGATTCATATTCTGTCTCCCTCTCTCTGCCCCTCCCCCACTTGCACTCAGTCTCTCTCTCTCTCTCTCTCAAAAATAAACATTAAAAATTTTTAATAAAAATAGATAAAGGAATGGTATAATTTTGTTGATAGTGTAAGTGCAATTTTAAATTTTTTATTCTGATTATTGCTTGTTTATATTAAAAATAAGATTTATCATTTACTAACTGTGTGACTTTGGGTGGTTACCAAACCTCTCATGGCTTCAATCTTTTAACGAAATTAAAGATGTGTGATAATACCCATTTGAGAGCGTTCTTCTGAGACACAAATAAGATAGTACATATAACACAGTTAGTATAGGGTCTGGAACAGAGAAATAGTACATAAAGTAATCCTCATGGGGTGCCTGGGTGGCTCAGTCGGTTAAGCGTCTGACTCTTGGTTTCGGCTCAGGTCATGATCTCACAGTTCATGGGTTCGAGCCCTGTGTTGAGTTCTGTGCTGTCAGCACAGAGGCTGTTTGGGACTCTTTGTGTCCCTCTCTCTCTGCCCCTCCCCTGCTCATGCTCTCTCTCTCTCAAAATAAGTAAATAAAACCGTTTTTTAAAATGTAATAAAAAAATAATCTTTGTGCCAGTGCTGCATTTTGCACTTGTCAGGCCAGAAGTTTGGGCACGGCTCTTGCCTACTGTCCAAGATGTCCTGGGATCACGGCTTCGGTGCAGTGCAGCCGGTCCCCTGGAGAACGAGAGGGAGCCCTGGCTTGCATGCTTCTGGAAAGGGCAGAGGACACTGCACTCCCTGATCTCTCACCCTGAGTCTCTGCCCCCCACTTCCACTCGCAGCAGGAACTCAACACAAAAAGAGTTGTCTCAGGTCCAGAATGGCTAAACTGTACTTCTGAATAATTACATCCAACCCCCTCAAATTTAACAGACAAATGAAGCTCAGGGAGGGAAAGACATTTGTCCGAGGTCATCCAGCAAGTGGGGAGGCTGGACTGGGACTAGAACACAGGTCCTCTGATTCCTAAGCCTGTGCACTTTCAACTCCAGCCCGAATTCTCCTCTTTCTGTGAGAGCCTCCTTGTTCAAGGGCAGTGGAGCAGGTGGGTCAACAGCAGAGCCATGAGGTCATTCAAGTTCGCCCAACACGCACCGTCCACGATCTGCACTACTCGAGTCTGCCTGCCCCCACCTTGTGTGTCTCCAGAGGACACTGTTCACCGTCCACACTAAAGGATCAAGGACTTAGTGCGTCTTGTCTCCTCATTCACATCTTAAAATAGAAAGCTGGGGGAGGGTATGGCTTAACCCAGAGGAATTATGGGTTAATGGAGGCATCTCAGGCACGGACAGGTGAGCAAGAGGGGATTTCCAGTGTCTCTCTAGGGCCTCTTGAGAAGATCCCTGGGGAACAAGAAAGGAAAGGAGGGAGGGCCACTGGAGCTGGCTGGTCACACTGTCGGGCTGGCAGTAGCGGGGTCAGGATGTGGGGTCGATTGGAAAGAAACTGCCTGCTGTCTGTGCAACCTTTTGTTTTTTATTCCCTGGTCTTAGGCGAAAGGCAGCATCCCCTAACGAAATGGAGACTCCAGTTGTGGGGTCAGTTAGTGGAGTTCTCATATGAAGCCCTAGGAATGGGCCTCTTCCACCCCTGCTCTCCTTCACATCCCGCTGAGGGGAGGGACACTCAGCCCCTCACCCATCTCCCTGGGGCTTCCAGGAGCACAAAAATCATGGGAGCCAGAAGCAAATGGAGCAGAAAGTGGTCTTTTATTGCAAAGTCAACGAGAGAAGCAGCCAAGTCCGGTCTCGGGCATCCTGAATGAGAGCGAGAATGCGCTGGCCGGAGAGGGTGGTGCGACAGGGCCAGGGCCAGCAGCCCTGGGGACTTCACAGGGGCAGCAAGGACACGCCCCACCTGGCCGGGAGAGAAGAGGACCAGAGAAGTGATTCGGCCGGTCAAAGCACTCAGAGGCAGTGGAGGGCAGGATCACGTCCACGTGACGGCCCTCTCAGGTCGTCAGTTACAGGCTCAAAGAGCCTCAGTCCCTCCATCCCCTCTCCACAGCCTCCCTCTCACCCACCCAGGCTCATTCCCATTGCTCAGCCTTCTCTGTGCCCTCGGGGTCTCCTCCTGCTCCACCAGGTTCTCACCTCACTGGGGATCCAAGCAGGCCAGCCCACAAGGGCCCTGACAGCACTTCTTGGCCCCGGGGCACTCGGTATCCCTCAAACAGCGGTTAGGGGGGTTCATCATGGCACACCGCATCAGAATGTTGGGGCAGGAGCCAGGCTTAGTGGACACTGGAACTTTGAGCAGATCTTTGGTTTTGACTGGGTCTTGACCTCTAACCGGATCTTGTCCTTTGACCAGAACACGACCTTTGTCTGTGCCTTGCCCTTTAGGAGGAACGGTTGAAAGAAGAAATGTAGCCACATTTAGACCCAGTGCGCTTGCTTCACTATCTAGTCTTTCCTCTTCGTCCAACCACTGCTCTCTGCCGTGTTTCCCAAACCATGGCCGGAGATGGGGCAGGGTCATCTGGGCTAGCTGGGGTCTGTGCCCTAGGAAAGCTGTGCTCTGGGCTTTGGGGAGAGGGTCTACAGGACCACGGTTCCCTTGGGTATCCATTTCTCCCCCTGCCCTCCATGACAAGTCCTCTCAGGAGGAGAGGCCAGACAGGGGTGACTTCCAGAGGTGAGAAGGACACATTGTCATCTCTGAGGCAACTTGGGGGGTGGGGAAAGAGCCCTGAGACATACGCCAGGAGCCCTGAGCTCCCTCCTGGCTCTGGAGGTTGTCTGGACAATCAATGTCCTCCTTGGTAAAATGGGGGTCTTCAAACGACAGGATTTCTGAGGTCTTGTTGGTGTGCAACCTCCTTTTAGAGGCTGATTACTCAGGTGCTTTCTGGGGGCAGACAGGCAAACCCCACACCCAGGCCCAGATTCCTGGGGTTCCCCACTTCATTGCACATTCTGCCCAGCCATCAACCCCTGAGGCCAACGCCACATGGCCACGCTTTGTCCGGCAATGGTCCTGATAGCTCAGTCTTAGCATGGAAAGCACATGATTCTACTGGACAACTTCTGCTCTCTCTGGATACAGCGGAAGCAGCCACAGACCAAAGCATGCGATCCAGCCCTGCCTGCTGCCCCAGAGTGCTCCCTGCCAGGGCCCAATCCAGCCTCACCCAGGCCATTTGTCTACTCACCTATGACAGCCGCCTGTGCTGCCAGAGTCCCAAGGATAAGGAACACCGCCAGGACCAAGAAGCTGCTGGGCCTCATGATGTCAGGAAGATGCGTGTGGCCAAGAGCTGAGGCCAGCCCGTTTTATGCTGTCCAGCGTGGCCTGGAGCCAGGGGGCGGGCCTGTGCTTGTCTCTGGCACAAGACCTACATTTTCTTAATTCTACCAGGAAGTATCCACCCCTATCCTGGGAGGGGCCGTGGGACTTTCCCCAAGGATTGTTCACGGAAGAGAAATGGCAGATACCATGTCACATCAGCCTGGGAGCTGTCCCACTTTCTCACAGAGAAGCAGGGCTGGCTGGCAGGTGCAGTGTTCTGAGTTCCCCCGTTACTCCTGTTCCTGTGGGCCCCACCCAGATCTGTCCTAACTGTTCACCCCTCCCAGCATTGAGGCTTTTCTTTCATGCCTTCCTGGCCCTGAGAAAAACTGTTGAAGGGAAATCTGCTTTGCAAGTCTAACGACAAATCACCTCACTTTGCTATTTCAACGGGTAGTCTCTGAGACGCACCACGAAAGTCATAGGGAAGGCGGGATTCTAGATCTCACAGAGCGACTCTAATCAAACTAATGCTGGGTGAAAAATTCAAGTCTCACAAGAAAATATTTTGAATTACACGCGTGTGTCTAAGGCTCAAAACGAAGGCAAACTAATAGATTGTCTAGGTGTACTTAGATATGCGGTAAAACTCATTTACTCGGGGGTAGATGAAAATGAGGAAGCCATATACACACAAAATCTAGAATCGTGGTTAACTCTGGAAGTGAGGGAAGAGACGTTTTGGATGGGTGAAAAGTACTCGGGTTGGTTTAAGTTTTTGGTTTCTGATAATGTGCTAGTACTTGGGTTGATTGGTGATTTCCCTTGGGGTGTGTGAGTGTGTGGGGGTGGGTGGGTGGGTGCACGCACCCGTGCGTGTGTGTGCGCGCGCGCGCGCGCACGCGTTTCCAAGGCTACAGGGTAAATCATTTATGAATTATCTTCACTTTCCATAAACCCACACCTGTCGCTGTCTCAAGTGGTTTCCAGTCTTTTACTATTACAAAATACACATGTGACTTTTTGCATTAACTTGCAAGCTTGCTTCCCAGAAGCAGATTTGTTAGTACAAAGATTAAATGCATTTGAAATTTTTTCCTGGCATAGTGCAGTACGGTTGACAAATGGATTTTATATTTATTTAATGTGTACGATATGATGTTTTCACGTGTGTGTACATTGTGAAGCGATTACCACAACCAGGCTCATGAACATATCCATCGACTCCTAGAGTTACCATTTTTTAAGTGCTTTTGAAATTTTTACAATCTTGGCTTAATGCGCTCAGTGGGGGCTGTACCATTTTGTATGCGCACCGGCAGTGGGCGACACGTCCTGTGCCATTCCAGGCACACACGGTGGGTCTGATGTGGGGATGAGACTAATGTCTCAGTCTGGTAGGTGAGAAATGATACTTTACTGATGGCTTTAGTTAGCATCTCTCACATTTCCATGTTTGCACATTTTAGGAGCCCCTGACGTTTCTTTTTCTGAAAGCTTCTTTTCCTTTGCTCACTTTTCTATAGATTCATTAGCCCTTTTCTTCTTCATTTTTAAGCACTCTTTATATATGATGGAGAAAGGTCCTTTGTGACATGGTGTGCAAATGAAAACTTTAATGTCATGCTAAGACCTGCTCAGAACAGCTCAGGCCACTGTCCTTTCCTCGTCTTACCTGGACATTACCTCCTATTGTTTGGGTTTTTTTTGCACATAGTGAGAGTGTGTTCTTAATATAGTTATATTAAACAAATCTGGCTATGGTTCTATTAAGAAGGCTGCACATCCTATTAGTAGAGGTTCACCAAACAGTTGATGAGGGGATAGAGGTTAGGAAGGTAGGATAGGAGAAGAAAAAAGGGTAAATAAAAGAAACAAAAAAGTATTGTTTCATCAAAAAACTCATCATGTCTGATGTGATCCTATTATACTTATAAATAGAAAAGGCATGAATATCACTAGATCTCTGTTTACTGAATCCTAGCAATGTTCACAAAATCATACCAACAGAAAAAAACAAGTTAGAGGGTAACATATGTGTTTGATAATACTTTGGTAGAAACACATAAAACTACTATGCATGGCTTTATTTATGTAGGAAAGAGGAGAAAGTTATGAAGGAATATATGCTACCCTATTAACATTGCTTACATCACTGTGATGGGAATAGGAAAAAGCAAGATAAGTAAGCTTTCCTTTTTTAAAAAAGTGTATTTATTTATTTTGAGAGAGAGAGAGAAGGGGAGAGGGAGAGCAAGAATCTGAAGCAGATTCCATGCTGTCAGTACAGTGTCCGATGTAGGGCTTGAACTCACGAACCATGAGATCATGGCCTGAGCTGATATCAAGAGAGGGACGCTTAACTGACTGCGCCACCCAGGCGCCCCAACTAGGTTTTCCATTATACATACTAGTTTCTCAGTTTTTCACTTGTCACAACAAAAAGTCACTGTTGTGATCAAAAATATCAAAGAAAATTATCATCAATAATTAAAAAAAAGAATTCAAGGGGCGCCTGGGTGGCTCAGTTGATTAAGCAGCTGACTTCGGCTCAGGTCATGATCTCATGGTTTGTGGGTTCGAGCCCAGCATCAGGCTGTGTGCTGACAGCTCAAAGCCTGGAGCCTGCTTTGGATTCTGTGTCTCCCCCTCTCTCTGTCCCTCCCCCACTCATGCTCTGTCTCTGTCTCAAAATTAAATAAAAAATTTTTTTAAAAAGGAAAAAAAGAATTCAAGGAAACATGTGAATGAAGAAAAGAGTGTAACGGACAGTAACATCTAAATAAACTATATACATGGAATATACACATGTAACCATTGGTGCCAATGTTAATAAGGGGTGCTGAAAATATAAGTGTCATAATGTAAAAATATAATAGTGTGTGTCGGGTATGATTCAGATGCAGTGGAAAGAAATCAGTCCAGGTAGTTCAAGCAGAAGAATCCAGCTATTGTGTGAATGCATTTGATTGTAAGAACTTGAATCACATCTGCAGTCCTGGAGATGAAAGAGTCTGGGACACATAGTCACTGGATTTCCAACTGCTGCAGGAAAGCATGCTGGGAGCAGCTGAAATGCACGTCGATGAAGACACTGAACAGTGCATGCCACCATCCACTCTTTTTTTCTCCTGCCACTGTTCATGCCCCTGGTCCATCCCCTACTTACACTTCCAAACATCAGCAAATATTCACCTCCTAGAAGGAAGAGTGTGCACCTTGAGTGGGAAGTTGAGGTGAGCAGGGCTGAGAACAAGAAAGGTAAGGTACAGTGCTGGGAGGTGTCGAAAGAAAAGAAATAAGAAAATGCATCCGGGAGAAGGAGGAGACGTATTGAGGAGAGAGGTCATCATCTTGAAACACCGGAGCAGTATCTCTCTGGCCATGGCTGATGGTAGGAGACCTCTTGTTTCAGACCAGTACGTAAGAATCGGGAAAAGCCCAAGTATTTAAGGAACTGCCCATTATTGTAGCAACGGAGGAGGGAGCCCTTGAGCTAAGAAACTAAGAAACCCCTTCTAACCCCCTTGCTAACCCCCCATACTCCCTCCCAACCCCCTACACCCGTACCCCCGCTCCTACTCTATTCCTTTCAATAGCTGGTCCTTGAATATCTAGTGATTTTAAAATAAGAAAGAAATTTGGAAATCACATAAGCCATACAAAAATACTAATTTTGAAGGCAGAAATGAGTCGCAAAACTTAAAAACATTTAAAATGGGATTTTGGGGTGCCTGGGTGGCTCAGTCGGTTAAACATCTGACTCTTGATTTTGGCTCAGATCATGATTTCACAGTTTGCGGGTTCAAGCCCTGCTGTGCTGACAGCACAGAGCCTGCTTGGGATTCTCTCTCTCCCTCTCTCTCTGCCCTTCCCCCCTGCCCTCCCCCCTCCCCTGCACACGCTAACGTGCTCTCTCTCCCTCTCAAAATAAATAAATAAAATGTCAAAAATATATACATTAAAATGGGATTTTAAAAGTCCTAAGTAAAATGCCACCACAAAACTGAAAAGATGGATATTCTAAAATGAACATGGAAAATTACTGAAACAAATTGAAAGTATGAAGAACCACATAAAGCAGAAATATAGAAATTCAAAGAAGCGATAGCAAGGTAGCAGGAAGATGTGAAGTGAAATCTGACGGAGCTCAGAAAAGAAATCGAAGACAAGGAGAAAAACAATGCACAAATAAAAACTAAGGAAGGAAAATAAGGAAAGCAAAGAACACAAAATAAAAATTAAAAACAGCTTTAAAATGATTACAGAGAAAGCCTTAAGTATAAAAAAGTCAGTAGAGACCCAACAGACATATAAATCAAGTCCCACAAAGAAGAAAACCAAAACAACAAAATAAAAGAATTACTTAAAACTGTAATTGAGGAAAATATTTCTGAAATAAAAGCAGGCTTGTGTCTACATATTGAAAGTTCACATCGTGGAAAACACAAAAGGCATGCAAGTCAAGTATTTAGAGTGTAAAGATAGAAAATAGAAGCCCTTAGGAAGCCAACACCCCTCAAAAAATCCAAAATCCGAGTTAATCAGATTAAATGATAGCCCGAAAAGAGCAGAGCCAAACTTGAAAGAAAGTATGCACTGAGGATTTTTTACACAGCTAATCTGTCTGTTAAGTAAAAAGGCTATAAGAATATATTTCTGAGCATGCAAGAACTCAAGGAAAATTGTTTCCAAGAGCTTTCCTGAGCGTTCTAAGGGATGAGATATACCTGACCCAGAAGGTTTGTAGGAATTACCAAAATGACTCGTGTTGAACACTGGACATTTTATTTTATCTTTATTTTTTAATTTTAATTAATTTATTTTTAAATTTACATCCAAGTTAGTTAGCATATAGAGCAACAATGATTTCAGGAGTAGATTCCTTACTGCCCCTGACCCATTTAGCCCATCCCCCACTCCCAAAACCCCTCCGGTAACCCTCAGTTTGTTCTCCATATTTATGAGTCTCTTCTGTTTTGCCCCCCTCCCTATTTTT